TGCGTATGCCAATAAAGGTTCTTATAAGGAAACACACAGGAGCACAGAAGTGCATTTTTCGTTATAGGAGGGCCAAGAATCCTCGCTGTCCCACAGGATGAAAAGTTTTTCGGTATGTTGACTAAATGAGTCGTGTGATCTCTTGCATTTCTTTCAAATGAAGCAATTGATATACCTACGGTGATCTTTCCTTTTTAATTGGCCACTTTTTAATTCGTGGTAATACTTATGATCTGATTTCCAGGTACCCTGTAGGGAAACGAACTAGTGCGGAACTGGTTCGGTTCTAGTGTGCTTGGAACCATGACTAGTACGCGTTAATTCTCGTTTGCATGCTAGCGACTGGCGAATTTAACATTGCGATGTCCTAGGAAGTGTCAATTGTACCCCGTTGCATCCCTTCGGCTCTAGTTCCGAAGCAGTTCTAAATTCGACAGATAAGATCTAGTTCGTTTTGCATCCCTTTTTCTATATTTCCGAACCAGTTCCATATTCGACAGATGAGATCTAGTTCGTTCTGCATCCCCTTTTCTTTAGTTCCAAACCAGTTCCTAATTCGACAGATGAGATCTAGTTCGATCTGCATCCATTTTTTATAATTTCCAACCTGTTATAAATTCGTCACCTTAGATCTACATTTCTAATCAGGCTTGTCGAAACATTTCCCTTCTATATTAAATACGATCGGTTGAAGGAAGGACAATACTATCACAAATGTTTAAACGCATTTATTAAAAATTTATAAACCACATTAGTAGTAGCAGTAGTATTAAACTTAAATAGTAAGTAAAAAACAAAAGTGCGTTCTGCTTAAAAGTAAAAATATTAGTTCACTTTGTCTTACTTGTCTAAATTTAAGCATATTGATTTTTAAGTAAATTCAGTTCTTTTTAAGCTTATATGAATATAAAGTACTTCAAAAGTTTTTGTCGTACTTAACTTAAATAAGATATACAGTCAGTCAATAAAGTTTAGATACAGTGAAGTTTTTACAATACCGGCAACTATTTTTTAAATATTTTATTTTCCCCTAATTTTTTATAGAAATATTGTTAATTCTACACCAAAAACCCCAAAAATCAGAGTTCCAAACCTTATGCAAAATTAAAGAAAACTGCGAATTTCCATCCAAGTATTGCAATTTACACTCTTTAGAAAAAAGTTAAGTACTCAGTTATTAGCCCATTCAATTTTAGTATAACAAAGTGCAAGTTTCAGGTAGCTAGGACTTAGCATTTATATTTAGCAATTTTTTTTTGTTGTTTGGTAAGTCCTAGCTTCCTCACACTTGCACTTCATTATACTAAAATTGAATGGACTAAAAAACTTTTTCTATAGAGCGTAAATAGAAAGTGAATTATTTTAATGAAATTTTGCAGAATTTTCTTAAATTTTGCACAAGGTTTGGAACTCTGATTTTTGGGGATTTTGTTGTAGAATTGACCATATTTTTATAAAAAAATTACCGAAAACTAAAATATTAAAAAAATAGTTGGCCCTATTGTAAAAAATTCGTTATACCTAAACTTTATTGACTGACTGTATTAAGGTAGCTGTGGTGGATTGCATAAAAAAACTCTATTTGTCTTTTCTTAAAAAAAGGTAGCTCTGGTGGCTTGCATTTTTAAATAAATTTAGTGAGAAAGTGGTAATTATTTTGACACTTTTTTTAAATGCCTCTTTTTCTGCAACTGCATTGCCTTTCTCAATTGTCCTTCAGGATCTTGGCCTTTGTTTATGGAATCACTAAGTATTATGATTATTAAACAACTCAGAAACTATACCAGCGTGATAATCGACGTATCCCTTTGAGAGGTAGCCGCACCCTTATAAAAGGAATAAGACCCAAACTTTTCAGGTAAAAATTTCAGTACGCTGCGTCCTTATGGCCTTTTAAATTTTGTAAATATCATTATTCTTAAGTGGAAAAATAAAACGGAAAATTAATGATAATCTCTGCCCGAAAAAATAAAAATCATAAAATAATTATTATTTGTAATCCCAAAAATAAAAATCAAATAATAATTATTTCTGTTTGAGCGAAAAAATAAAACTCAATAATAATTCATAAAATAATGATTAAATGCTGATTTAAATTATTTTACTCATAATGATTTCCTTCCCTGCTTTTAAAATTTAAAATAGAATAGTTTAGTGAAAGTACCACATTTCACTGCTTTTGGACTGGTGCGGAACTAGTTACTATCGGACTGGTTCGTTTTTGGCAATAAAGAACTAGTACTGAACTAGAAATCTGGTTCACTAGTTCGTGTTTTCCCTACAGGGTATATGCCAGATCGCATGATCGTGCATGAGGGCGTCAGACAAATTTAACCCCATCCTTCATTTAGACATCTGAAAACTAAATTCGTATAACGTAAACATAGGGCCAAAGCAACCCAACCACGCGGGGTTTCTATACATTTCGGCTGCAGCGCCATCCATTGGGTCCATTTTCTGCAAAACCATTGCTTTCCATAAAATAAATACGTGTTACGAATTTTAACCAGAGGTACTCATCGGGTCTATTTTTATCAAAAGAATTTTCTGTCATACAGGTACATAGCTCACGTTTAAAATTTGAACGAAATCGGTTAATAAATACGACTTTTATAAATAGCTCTACTCGAGCTCCACCTAGCGAGTTTTCTAGTGGCATGTTATAGGACCATATATGAATGTAAGATAACCTCCTAAAATCTGACGGAACTCTATTCAGTGGTTTTTTAGTTTAGTCAGAACAACGAAAAGGGCTATCTTTTTAGGCAAATAGGTATGTAGATAGGACAGTCTACAGCGAAACTCGAAAAACCAAAGCTCCATTCTTTGTGAAAATTTTAAAAGATTCTTCAACATTTTTACACAAATTTTACCTTTTACGGAATACTAAAAACACTTAAAACCACTTTTCGCCATAAGTACGGTATTGATAACATATGTAGCTGTTTCGAATTTCAGGACGTTAGCGTAAGCGATTCCAGAGATAAGCTATATGAGTAGTTCAGTTTGTATAGAAGATAACACGCCCCCTTTTCCAATGCATTTGCAATATATGCATCAGTGCTAAGTTTCAGTTCCCCAGCGTAATTGGTTTTAGAGATGTATGTATTGGGTTTTTACATTTTAGTTTGTATAAGAATTTTAGGAATATCCCCAACTACATACCGAGTAAATTTTTGGTCGGAATATTTACTTTCAAGGTGCTGGCATATGATCCAAATATTAACCAAATCGGTGCAGCCGTTTAGTGATTTAGTGAAATACTTTGTACAGAGAAAATGTAAAGCGCGACGTCTCAGATTTCCTAATTTTTTGTCAGCAGCAAAAAAAAGTTTTTAATTTTTTTAGGCAAAAACCACACAGAAGTTCCAAAAAAGTGCGATTGGTCAATAAAATTAAGTTTGTGGTTATATCAAGGCGGAACTTTGAGAACAGTCCATTGTTAACTCTAAATATAAACAACGACGCACTGGAAAAAGTTAATACATTCAAGTACCTAGTAATAAGGATCGATGATAAACTAAAACAAAAAAAATGGATTCTATATTTGCAATTAGAGCTCTAGCAATATGTACATCGGTGAAAACTGCATTTAATTGCATACATTAGTTTTTGCGAGATGCGCTTACAAACATACAGATAGACAGACCAAAATTATAATAATTTTAGATTTGGCTTCTGTTGATCCCTATTAATCTTTCTTTAACATCTACTATGTACAGATATCGGCCTGTTGCAATTTTATTATTCTCAAATACTTTCGTTTGATATTCACCTGGCGAATGTTGCCAGCTTATCTTATAAATTTAACTGGGTTAAAGTTTCCAAATAGTAGGCGACCCGCTTCAAAAATACTTTCAAAAGTAAGCTTCCTAATCCGCTTTAGTTTTTAGGTTAATGTCCGTATTGTAATATTTCATTTATTTTACAAATTTAAATGAATACAATTTTTCAAGCAGTTGGCCAATCCCCTGAAAATATTTTCGACATTAAAATTTCCTACCCTTTTTAGTTTGATGACAATATTGCAATATTTAATTTTTGTTATCAATTAAATTAAATTAAGGTTTTCAAATAGGTAACCTTCCACAAAAATATTTTCAGCTGTAAGCCTTTGTAAACCTCTTTCTTTTGGCAGCCATATTGCAATATTTATTTTACCGTATCAATTGACCTAAACTGAAATTCTAAACACAGGTGGCAACTCTCTAATATTTTCCCTCTACATTGGAAGCTAGTTCTCTAGCGATACATCGGTGAAAACTGCATTCAATTCCATGCATTAGTTTTCGAGTAATACGCATACAAATATACAGAGAGTCAAAAATTCTAAAAACTGTTAATTTGGCTTCTATAACTCTAATAAAATCCCCCCATATTAATTTTTCTTTAATATCTAATGGTACCGACATCCGCCTGTTACAATTTTATTATAAGTATAGATATAGATTTCAACCCTCCTGTTCAAGAGTTACAGTAAGGTATTGGCCAAAAGCAACGTTGGGCATCGTTAGTACAGGAACATACCCACATTCAGCTTTATAGCTGATGTACTTAGGAGTAGAACACATATGTATGTATTTTGCTCATATATAAGAAGTATCTGGTGATCTTAGGGTAGAATATTCAAGAACGTGAATCAATAAAAAAGTGAAAGACACTTACTCGATTTATTTTGGACAACGTGGTTTTCTACTTGCCGAATTCATTCCCTGTGAGGACATCGCAATTATACTGCGATATGGCGAGTTTAAATCTGCGTGCATCTACACAATCATCAATTGTTCGTCTTGGAAAAAATTATCGAGGCGGGCTACTTTGATCCAGATCACATAGAGTGCGAGGTTATGCTGGCGCAAGTGAAAAAAACAATTTGAAAGGTTTGCAGAGTATCACGCGGATCTAGTATCTCTTGCACAGGCCAGCGAATTGGAAGCCCACGACGAATTTTTCGCTGCTACTGAAATGCTATATACTAATATTTGTGTTCGACTGCGTAGGAGAATGGGCGGTAAAGGCAATTCAGAGCCCAAGCCTCCTGTGACCAATCAACAGGACATGCGGTTAGATCCAATTAAAATTCCAGTCTTTGATGGTGATCCGGGGAATTGGTTGTCTTTCAAAGACCTGTTTGAATCACTGGTCCACAACCGCACTGACTTAGATCCCAGCTACAAGCTGAGTAAATTGCGTCAACATGTCAATGTAGATAACGTGCCATTGGTTGGGGGCCTATACACCGGTGGCTACGAGGACATGTGGAAGGAAATGAAACGTAGGTATGACAATAAGCGTTTGTTAGTTGAGTCGCAGGTTAACCGCCTCCTGGATTTGCCGAATCACCCAGCGGAATCGCAGAAGACCCTTCTTCGAGTTGTCGACACCGTACAAAATGCTATGCGAGCGCTAGCTGTAATGGATCTTCCAGTAACTCAATGGCAATGACTCATGTAGCAGCCGTTAATTCATCTCAAGCTTCCCGTTCAAGGAAGGCGGCCAATATTGTGCGCAAGTTCACATCGCCTTCACAAATGTCAGCGGTTCCTCAACCTTCCGGTAACAGAGCGCTGGGACACCGTGAAGCGGCTCTCACAGTGTGTCAATTGCCTCAGCGTCGACCATGGGGCGCGAGATTACCCGTCGCGGGATTGTATACGCTGCCATCACCGGCACCACACACCTCTCTGCAGAGAAGAAGATGCAGTCAGTGCACCAGCAGCCGAAGTAACGAACACATCAGCAGTGCCGACTCGTAACTCTAAGCCAGGTATATCTGTAGAGCATACGCCGCAAGTATACTCACGACAACAATGACAGTCAGAGACGGTTCGGTCTTATCTAGTCCACGGTGACCGGACCGTTTTACTAGCCACAGCAAAGGTTCGTCTTGTGGATCATAATGGACAACAACACACTTGTCGTGCCCTCTGCGATATGGGTTCCCAGGTGAGCTTAATCACTGATTCTTTAACTAAACGTATGGGTCTCCGTAGAAAACCAGATGAGGTCCGAATCGAAGGCATCGGTTCGAGCACCGCGGTCTATACCAGAGGCAATGTGACTGTTAAGATGCAACCTACAATTGACAGCAACACCGAGTTCAGACTGGAGGCGTATGTTGTGTCGATGATAACCTCAACTACACTAAGCGCAACGATCGATCCGGCAGCCTGGACTCATTTGAAGGATTTGCCGCTGGCGGACCCAACGTTTGGTTGCCCGGGTCCGGTGGATTTGCTTCTCGGTGCTGAGGTGCTTAAGGATCTCTTGCTGGAAGGCTTAATTCGGGGATCTGCAGAACAGCCTTGCGCCTTGAACACACGGCTTGGTTGGGTAGTGTTTGGGCCAGCTCATGGTAGCTCAACACAATCCGCACAGCTAACATCGCATGCTGTCAAACGCGTCAAAGAACAACGACTCCACAAACTACTTCGAAGCTTCTGGGAACTCGAAGAGCCAGCTGTGGTATCAGAAACTCGGGAAGATGATTGTGAAAGGGTATTCACCAACACCTTTACACGCGCAACGGATGGCCGTTATCAGGTGCAGATCATATTTAAACCAGATGCACCCTCCATTGGCGATTCATACCAATCTGCAATACGTCAGTTTCTACAACTGGAACGGAGATAAGCGAACGACGCTGATCTACGCGAGCAATATACGGCTTTCATGAGGGAGTACATAGCTCTTGGCCATATGGAGGTAAGCCAGGAGTTAATTATGGACGCTCATCCTGGTTACCTTATTCCCCATCATGCTGTTACTGCCAAATTTCGGTTTGTGTTTAATGCCTCTGCAAAGACATCGAATGGCGTATCACTGAACGACGTGCAATTCTCGAGCCCACAGCTACACCTAAACTTGGTCGACATTCTTCACCGTTTTCGCAAATTCAGCGTAGCCATCACGAAGATGTTCCGTCAAGTCTTGGTCGACCAACGTCATAGAAAACGGCAAAAAATTCTTTGGCGTGAGGCTTCAGACGTTCCTCTACAAATATACGAATTGACAACGGTGACGTATGGAATGGCTTGTAGTCCATTCAATGCGGTACGAGCGCTGCATCAATGTGCGCAGGATAATTGTAAGGCCATCAGTGAACCCAGCCGAGCTGCCGCAGCGCAACATAGCATCCTTTATAATTTTTACGTGGACGACTATCTGGACAGTGTCGATACGTCCGAACTAGCAATCACGCGGGCACAAGGTGTGGAGACCATCTTGAAGCAAGGTCAATTTGTGTTGGGGAAATGGAACTCCAACTGCTCACACACGCTTGCTACCATCACTGGTTCGACAATGTCTGCATCCGAGCTGGAGTTGAACTATTCAGCGACGAAGGTACTAGGTTTGCATTGGGATCCGTTGCATGACGAGCTCTTCTTCACGATACGGGGGTTCGACGAGTCAGCGATGCCTACCAAACGGACAGTGCTTAGCGACGTAGCTACATTGTATGATCCGACTGGCTTATTGGCACCAGTTGTCATTGTGGCAAAACTCTTTATCCAGGATCTGTGGAAGGCGGGATTGCAGTGGGACTCGGCACTGCCACCGGACCTGCTCAATGCTTGGTTAATATTCCGCAACGGGTTAGCGGACATTTCACGACTTCGTGTTCCACGTTGGCTAGGCATGCGTGCCGATTCGATGGTGAGGCTCCATGGTTTCTGTGATGCTAGTCGTAAGGCATATGCAGCTGCGGTGTATGTCCAGACGGTGGATCACAATGGTAATTCAGGTGCAGTTCTGGTTGCTGCAAAGACGAAGGTCGCTCCGGTCAAGGAAGTGACCATACCACGCCTTGAGCTATGTGGTGCCCACCTACTTACAATCACTATGAACCACGTCCGCAAGGCTCTTGACCTACCAGATGTCCCTTGCATATATTGGTGCGATTCAAATGTTGTATTATGCTGGATCCGCAAGGCACCTTCAGCTTTCAAACAGTACGTTTCGAATCGAGTCGCTTTCATCCAGGCCAATTCGGATGTAAATTCCTGGAACCACATCCGATCGGAGCTTAATCCGGCGGATTGCGCAAGCAGAGGCTTGTCGCCATCTGGTCTGGAAAGTCATCGACTTTGGTGGGCCGGACCGGCATGCATCCATCAACACACAACCGTAGGATCGGAACCAGTTACGATGACGGAGGAAGATCAGCACATTTTTAGATCCGCATCTCGCCCTGTGTATACTAGCTAGTATCTCGTGTTGACTGCCAGTGGCTCATGACATCAGGTGACGGTAATCGGGTACCTCTCATAGAGAGGTTTAGCACGTTGGGACGTCTTCTCCACACCACGGCGTGTCTTAGACACATACTACCATTATTTCGAGGCAACAGAGGGGTTGTGGTCTCCGCCGAAGAGCAGAACTGGGCGCTGGTCTTACACATTCGTCATCCACAATGTAACACTTTCAAACAGGAAATTAAAGCACTTGTCTCTAATTCCAGAATTGAGGGTCGCGGTCCACTTCTACCCCTAAACCCGTTTCTGGATGAAAATGGAATATTGAGAGTTGGGGGCCGACTAACCAACGCTGACATGAGTAAGGATCAGCGACACCAAATCATAGTCCCACGCGGCACTATAGCAGATTTGATGGTCGCAGATGCACATAAGCGCTGCCTTCATGATGGCATACAGCAGATGCTCCAGTTTCTCCGACAACGTTTTTGGCTCATATGTGCGCGGGCCCAGGTAAAATCTTACATCTGGAGGTGCACCGTATGTCGAAGACATCTGCAAATTATGCAGCGTCAACAGATGGCGTCGTTACCAAAGGAACGTGTCCTTGTTGCACCACCATTTTACCGCAGTGGCTTGGATTACTGTGGCCCCTTCCATGTTCGAGTTGGCAGCAAGCGCTCAGCAGTTACAACAAAAACCAATGCAGCCATTTTCGTTTGTATGGCATCGCGTGCAGTTCATATTGAGCTGGCAGAAGACTTGAGTACACAAGCATTTATAAACGTGTACGACCGCTTCGTGAGTCGACGAGGCATCTGAGCTACCTTATACAGCGATAATGGTACTCAGTTTATTGGTGCGAATCGACAAATGCAGGAGGATTTACAGGCATGGGTGAACGTGTTTGCACAACAACACCTGGTGGCTGTAGGAACCCACTGGAAGTTTATTCCACCATCGTCACCTCATCACGGTGGCCTTTGGGAAGCAGCGGTGCGTTCTGCCAAAAAGCATCTATTGCGAGTCATGGGTCGTCAAACAATGCGCTTCCCCGAGCTTTACACTCTTTTGACGCGTATAGAAGCCTGCTTCAACTCACGGCCATTGCTGGATTTATACGATGACCCGGAAGGTGGTGTAGCCCTCACTCCGGGTGATTTCATTATTGGCCGCCCGTTGAATTGTCGTTCAGAACCTCCATTACCAGAAGTTCCAGAAAATCAGTTGCATTACTGGCAACGTCTTCAACGAATGGTGGAGCACTTTTGGCGTCGCTGGCAAAGCGAATACATAAATACCCTTCAGTCTCGCAGTAAATGGACTAGACCGGAGCCAAACATTCAGCGCTACGACTTCGTTCTCATCCGGGATGAGAATCTCCCCCCAACATTTTGGCGCATAGGAAGGGTCATTGACGTGCATCCGGGCAGTGATGGTTTGGTTCGCGTGGTCACCATCGAATACAATTCTAACCAGAAAACCTCGAACGGACTTTTTATCAAACACCGATGTCAGCGGCCGGTACAGAAATTATGCCGATTAACAGGCCCACCTGAAGAATTACTGAACCGCACGGGTTCAGCCGGGCAGGATGTTCAAGAGTTACAGTAAGGTATTGGCTAAAGGCAACGTTGGGCATCGTTAGTACAGGAACATACCTACATTCAGCTCTGCTCATCAACACCCGCTGAATGCACCAATACAACCAACATTAGTTCATTTTTGCAATGTCATCGCTTAACATCCATATTATGCGTATTATTATTGTTCTCGCTCTAGCGTTAGATGTTTTTATAGCTGATGTACTTAGGAGTAGAACACATATGTATGTATTTTGCTCATATACTTCTGTATGTATATAAGAAGTATCTGGTGATCATAGAATATTCAAGAATGTGAATCAATAAACAAGTGAAAGACACTTACTCGATTTATTTTGGACAACGTGGTTTTCTACTTGCCGAATTCATTCCCAAACACCACCCAAAAAAATTTTTGTGTAGTAAAATTTTCTAAACCTGTTCAGTTTGATAGCCATATTGCAGTATTCAATTTGTCTTATAAACTAAATTAAATTAAAATTTTCAAACGGGTGGCAACTCAAAAAAAAATTTTTTGGCTATAAGCCCCTTTTTGTGACGCCCATATTGCAATATTCGCTTTTTCTTATAAATTTTTTTAACAGGTGGCAATTCTTTAATTATTTTTTTCCTATGTTTTACTAAAGACTCCCCACATTAATAATTCTTTAATATCTGTAATATACAGAGGGACCTGTTGCAATTTTACTATATGTATAGACCAGTTTCAATGGGAAAACTAAAGAGGGACAGTTTCTCAATAATACACCTGCCAAACCATCAATGTCAGTTTTAACAGACAGTTTTCAGTTTGGAAATGCCACTCGTAACGTCGTTAGATGACGAGCTTAATGACCCAAAACTAAGAGAAGAACTCGCCGCAAAATCACAATCTGGTTGGGATGCGTCGTCAAGGACTAAAGTTAGAGCTGAAGAATTACGCAAATAGACATGCCTCATCAACTGGACATCGAGCAAATTTGTTATCAATTAAAACAGCTGAAGGTATGCCGGAACTCGATTTCTTCGACTAAATAAACTGCCAAACAGTCTTCGGATTAGATTTTATATTTGATTCAACATTAAGTATGTACATAATTTGTATAAAGGAAAACAATAACATTTCTTTAGATGTTTTTGATAATGAGAAAAGAAGATGTGGTTTCCCCTTTTCTTGAGCTATTTCAAGAATTTATTCTTTAGATTCTTTAACCTTTTTTATTCGTAATTATTTCAAGATAGCTTATAACCTTTTTTTAATAACTGGTATATTACTTACACAAAACTGCATTCTCTGTGTTTATCGGACACCGTAAATCTCTTTGCTGATTTCTTTAAGTCAAACTTCGTCCAAGATAATACAATAGCTGTTAACACCAGTTGTCATGACTCTTCCCCTGCTCTAGATTTTGCATTATTTTCTGTGTCTAATTTGGATGTTATTAATGGCATCTCTTCCTTAAAGTCCTCAATAAAAAGTGATTTAGATAGGCTCTCTTCATTTCTACTTAAGAAATGCAGTGTTTCATTTTGTGTGCCCTTAAAATTTATATTTAATCTCTCCCTCGGCACTGGCGATTTTATTGACAGTTGGAAGGTTGCTTTTATTTTTCCGATCTTCAAACCTGGTAACTGGAATGATGCATGAAATTATAGACCTATATCTAAACTCACCACTTAGTCAAAACTTTTCGAAAAAGTGGTGAAAGATAAAACGTACTTCTTTCTGAAGGAATTACATGATCCCCATCAACACGGTTTTGTGTGTGGGCGTTCTACAGTCACTAACTTGGCTGAATTCTCCCAATTATGGATTACTTCATTTAAAACCGGTTATCTAGTAGATGTTGTCTACACAGATTTTACAAACGCTTTCGATACTGCTTCGCATAGTATATTGTTGTTAAAACTGGAAAAGTTAGGTTCCCACTCAAATTTCCTCCTTTGGTTAAGGTCTTACCTTACTAATCGAACTTCATACGTCGAAATTAGTAGTACTAAGGGCCGGTTACTCAATGTCTGGTTAACACTAATCTGCCGTTAAACATCGTTTTCGACGTCTACGACTCCATGCATACAACAGGTAGTCGGTAACGTCGATAGCTATGTTTAACCGGAGATTAGCGTTAACCAGACATTGAGTAACCGGCCCTTAATCACATCCCTTCGTAGCCTGCTCGGGTGTACCTCAGGGGAGCATTCTTGGTCCGCTATTATTTATGCTTTTTATTAATGACATTCGGGACTGCTTTAACCATGATAAAAACATGGCAAGGTAGAACCGTTCTCTCAATTTGTCGGCCATGATTTTTTTTTTTGAAGTTTGCCAACATTTTAAAATCATATAAAAGTGAAAATTAGAAATCGAAATTGTTCGAAATTGTTGTTGCTTGAGATT